TGTGTGGTGCGGATGCGAGAGAAAATGCCCCATCTTTCTCCGAAAGATTTAGGGCTCAGACTAGATAGCAAGCATCATGAAAATTCTTGTGAAAACACAAAAAATCATTATGATCGCTCAAAATCACCCACATTCTTCCTCTCGGGCATGTTGTCGGCACGTCGAAAAATGGCACCATCGGAACATGACAGTAACATTCCGTGCGAGTTACCAAACTCCGTCAAGAAGCACCATCGGAGTGGATCTGGAAGGGTCCATGACATAGAGGAAAAGGCACGGTGCACCCTTTAGCCCTTGTTGTCTCCATGGACAAGAGGAACACGGTCACTCTTGACCTGAGAACCAAAGCTCGCTTCAACGATGTTGGTACAACCTCGGCAGCCTTGCTTCCGGCACATCAAAGGGGGGATTTGGGAGCACAAACATTCGTTGTGGCCACCACTGTTGCCGAAGCCACAATGTCCACCGACCAAACCCTGGCAACTAAGGGCAACTCGAGCAGGTCCGCCTTACCGGCGACCGCCATAGGGGATATGGAGGCTGCGGTGGTTGTCCGCAAATACAGATTTGTCTAAGAGCATCTCCAGTAGGCGCACAAAAACTGCTCAGCGCTAAAATTCAGGTTTTTTGGTTGTGCTGTAAAATAGTGCATGCGCAAAAAAGGATTGGGCACGCGCTAAAAAGTGTTATCAGAAGTTGTAAATTTGGGACGCCGGATTGCGCGCGCTTCACAATTTGCACTGTGTGTTTTTTTGGGCACACGTTTTTTTTGGCATATGCTAAACCAATGTTGGGTCCGCCACGCTAAAAGTGCTATAGTGGCGCACTAAAACTATTTTAGCGCACGAAATTTATGTGCGCCTGTTGGAGATGCTCTATGTTCCTACATGTGCGTCTCACTTGTCATTCAGACATCAGTTCAATTTCATTCCTCGACATGGAAATTTTTCGGTACCAAATTTCAACACTGGTTTACACTAGGATTTAAAATTTGGATTTACAAAACAGATCCAAAGAAACAACTAGGGGATGAACAACCTTAAAGAAACTCACATTGATTCTTTGAACTACGGGCTCTTCTTTCTCTTGGAAATAACCTCGTAGGCGGAGGAAGGCTTCAGCTGCACCAAAAAGTCACTTTGGAGGACGGGTGCATTGGAGCCCTATATTTTGAATGGTGCCAAAATGCTTTTTTGAAGTTTCAAAAATTCTGAAAACAAATCAACACGTTTATATGGATGGGTATTACACATGTGCAAAATTTGATGCTGAAATAAGTAACCATGTGAGTTACACAAAAAGACAAAATCATGATTTTGGAAAGATGAGCAGTGCATGCATTATTCACTATTTGGAAATCACCATTTTGTCATTTTTTACGGCTCACATGTTTACTTATTTCATCGTCAAACTTTACACATGTGTAATATACATCCATATGATCACGTAAAATTATTTTCGGAATTTTTTGAAACTTAAAATGTGATTTGTAAAGTATTTAAAATAAGGTCCTCCAATAAACCCGGGCTCCAAAAATCCACTCTCTCTATGGCCACGCATTCGGTGAATGCATGTGTGTCTCGGATGCGGGGCAATGCCACATCCTTGAAGACCAGTGTGAGCGCGGCTTCCATTTTTGTGGGGGTGACCATCGAGATGCGGTGAAAGCACTTGAGGGCGGCTGACGGTTGATTCAATCTCCAAGAATTCCCACACGCTCTCCCATTAACTCTCTCTCGGTGCGGTCCTCTCCGGTCTTTGCGACGAAAGGTTTGCATGGAGGGTGCGGCCGCACCGACATGATCAATGGGGGTGATTGTGCAGGCGACGGGGATGGGGAATAGATGGCAGACGGCGATCCGGGGATGGGGATGAGGGAGAGGGTGTGTGGGGGTGGGAAACAAATGCGGAATGAAGGTGGCCATGCGCTGCGTGGTGCCCAGGCCGGGTCGTCCGTCCGTTCACGGAAGCCCTGGGATCACGTCGTCACCGGCCGGACGGGGGCGGTGCAGGCTGGCCGTGCGGACGTAGCCGCCGATCGATTAATTTAACCCTAGTAGTCTTCTTGCCTTCTTCTTGGTCTTCTTGACGAGATCCCGGGTTCAATTCGCCCATGTTTTGCTCGTCAGGGGCTGGCAACTTGGCATGCACGGCCGGATCCTCGTTCCCGCCACGCATGTTTTCCTCGTGCTGGGTTTCCACGGAGATGCATGCCGTGGCGAGTTTATTACTCCCTCCGTTCCTAAATATTTGTCTTTCTAAAAATTTTAAATAGTCACCACATACGGATGTATATAGACATATTTTAAAGTGTAGATTC